TTCCCCTTGCTAGATGTTTGATTTATATGACCTGTATCACAAGCCCTTGAGATCCTTGAAATGGGTTATGATGTATGCAATGGTATGATGTCATGATATGCATGGGGTAATGTGAGTAACCCTGTTATGAGTCCCCATTAAGGACTGCCAAAACCTGCAAGAAACTTAGGATACCCTGTTATGAGTCCTAATTAAGGACTACAAACACAACCTGCAAGAGACAAATGTCAGGTAATAAGCATGCAAGTAGTTCAAGTAGGAAGGCACACAAGTCACACAAGAGAAGCCCTTAAAGTTTAGGCCAGCATGGAGTCTGGGTAGTACCCTCTTGAAGTTGGTGGGTTCAACCTGTCCTATCAAAGTAACCGGGTTCTAAGGTTCCCAATATCACGGGATTGCTTTCATTGTTCATCGTTTCGATTTAGCCACTGAACTGGCGACCGAAATATCCCAGGAAAGCAACCCTCAATTGAGTGTAGTATCGAGTATCAACCAACCTCGGACTGCACCAAAGTCAGTTATCTCACTACCCTAAAGAGGCCAAGATGGTTCAATTAAGGTTCCTAAGGTCTGTTGATGCTTCATGACACCACATGGAGGCCCCGTACTCTCCTTGACTGAACTCAAGGGTTACCGGTACACACCAAAGTGCCACATCAACGTAGCAGACTGTTTCAACCATGTCGGTATACCCCGCACAGTTCCCTCACAGCCTTGTTGCTACTTTCTAAGAAGGTATCCCCCAGATCCGGGTTAGGATCTATAGAACTCCCAAGCAACCCACAATTTAAAGCACACAAGGAAAACAATTGAAAACACAATTATGAACTAGCCCTAAGGTACACCTCACTTTAAGTAAAATCCCCAGCAGAGTCGCCAGTTCTGTGATCGGTGGATCTGGAACTGACTGTTTAACGCTGGTACGCGAAATGTCGCGGAAGCAAGAGTCGCCACCGTCTTTTATTTTCTCCAAATGGAAAGGACAAAAGCACAGAAAAATTCCTTTAAAGAGATTGCTCTCGGTTCGGGAGGTAGGTTATAGAAAGGGAAGGTGTTAGCACCCTTTCTATCCATGGTTATCCATGGGCTCTTAGATACTTGCTCAATGTGTTTTCAAAAATGTTTGTTTGCTTTTCAATGTGGGTTTAAAAAGTTTCTTTGAAAAATTTCAGTTCGACTCGTACGTCAGAGTGTTTGAAAAGTTTGCTTTGAAAGCTTTTGAAAATGTGTTGGTGTGAAAAGTCTCTTTTGAGTTTGTTTTTAGATTAGAGCAAGTATCCTTGAGAACCTACCTACCCTAAGGAATTCGTCTGTGTAGATGTCCTTTAAAGTAGTGCCATCCCACCATTGAGAGGTAGGTAGCACCACTGTTGGAGGTGTTCGGGTCAATTCGAGTTTTAGGGACGTGGTGATCACCAGAGCAATGGGAAGACACCTTAGAAGCTACCCTCATGCCAGGTTCCCGGATCATGAGGACTTACTAAGACGTCCTCTACTCGACGATCACCTTTCGAAAGGCAACGGTGAGGCGTACCCTAGGGGTGGTGTGTGCGAATTGTGTGTCATGTTTCAGTTATTTGTCTTGTCATGTTTATTTGTGTTCTACGCTTGATTTTAATTAAGACATTCATTCTTGCATGCTTTTTAACAGTTTAAATATTTGCGGAAAAAAAAATAAATCTAAGGCTATTACAAATGGCGCGGGTCCACATCGCCAAAATAAACCGGACCCGATTTGACTGAAAGTAAAGAAGCAATAAAATAAAAGTGCGAAAAGTAAGAATTGTTACAAGGCTTTGGGACATATACATAATTATTTAAACGATATAAAATAAATGTGCAAATTAAACAAATTATGGACATGGGCGTTGGACCCTTTTGCAAAAAATTAAACTTAATGAGGAATTAGAAAAAAAAGAATGTTTTTGGTATTTTTGTATTTTTTAAGATTTAAAAGAAAAAAGGACTTTTTAGAATGAAATTTGAAATGCAAATCCTAATTCTAATGTTTTTTTTAGTTATTATGAAAATGTTATATTAATCTAAATTAAACCCTAATTTTTACTTATGTACATTTAATTATAAAAATAAAATAAATAAGTAAATAATATTGTGATAAAAAAAGGAAAATTTAAAAGGTATAAAAAGTCATTAAACCTAATGCTATATTTTTGGATTTTTAGTTATTAAGAAAGTATTAAAATCTAACCTAAATGCAACCCTAATTAGTTTACAAGTTTAATTATGAAAATTACTAATATTATGGCAAAAAACAAGGAAAATTAAAAGGAATAAAAAAAGTCATTAACCTAATGCTATATTTTTGGATTTTTTGTTATTAAAAGGATTAAACTTATGACCTAATTAAAACTAAATTTATTTACATGCCAAATTTAATTATAGAAAATAAATAAAATGAATATTATTATTAAAAAAAAAAAGAAGGAATTAAAGAATCAAAATTAATTAAACCTATTTCTACATATTTTGGATTTTTATTAAAAAGAATTAATGTTGTAAACTTATTTTACTAAATTCATTTACATGTTAATTATTTACAAGAAAATAAATAAAATAAATATTTTTTATGTTTTTATCCTTTTTCTGATTTTTTGATGTTTTTCATATTGCAAAAATATTGAATTAAATTAAAACAAGAAAACAAATAAAAATAATAATTAAAAGAGATGAGAAAAAAAAAAAATATTTGCAAACCAGGGTGGGGTGTAGTCCCAATTTGTGAGGTGTTGATCCAAGAATATTGGCCCATTAAGCCTGAGGTTTGTTGACCTTTTCAGTTCGTGTGTGATGCGTTGACTGGCGCTTATTGTGCTCTTCAATCTGTAACCCTTGATCTGGATGCTTTGGACGCGTGGATGGTGATTTCTGGGCGTGCATGAAGATCTTGCAATGGAAGTGCTGCATAGGAATTAGTATTGAAAAATAGTATGAGATTTACACAGACCTGGGACTCGAACCCAGGTCTTGGACAATGCAAAGGAATACGCCTACCACTGAAGCACTTGAGTTACTTTTAACATATAATGGTTAATGAATATAATAAAAAGAAAAGAGAGTTAGTGGCCTTCAACGCGCCAATTTTTGAACTGACGAATCATAGCGTGCCATGTACTCATCTTCCTCGCGTGCCTGAAATACCAAACACAGAGGCAACGGTTTCAACGCGTTGTGTTAGGCATGTTTATGAAAAATAGCGACTAGCGCTGTGACATCAATAAATTGATCGCGAGGGTCCATATCTCCTCGTCTTGATGAGCTGGTTTGAATGGCATAAGTCTGGAGCCCTAATTTTACTGTATTGTGAAAGCCCTAAATCAAGCTCTGAAAAACCCTAGAATATGAAAATGGTAGAATCGCGTATGGCCAATGAAAACTCAATTGAACATGATGGTTAGTCTCAAAACATTATGGTAAACATGAATCAATGGACAAAATGCTGTAAAAACGTTTAAATCATGATGCACGATTTTGGAAATTTTGCTATACAGTTCGAGTTCTAACTACCAATTCTTGGAGATTGGCTTGTTGTTTGTGATTGATACACGTTCAGAATTACCCAATGAAGCTAATGGGATGATTTTTATGCCTTGAATCCCCCTCTAGAGTGTTTTTCCGTTTTGACTTTTATGGCCAAAATTTCAAATTGGTACTAGCCTTTTCTGCGCAGCTGAGAGTGTGTTATGATTAGGGTTTGACTCAGTGCTTATGCTGGAAGGAAATTAGGTCATTAGTTGGCCTTTTTTCCATGCCCATGAGAGAATTGGTCTTAGGTCTTTTTCATTAACAAACTTTTCCTTCTTTTAAGCCAAGACCAAGACTTAGTGTGCAATTTAACCCTAGCCTGAGTTTTTGAGCTGGCCCATGATATATGGAAGTTGTCCAAATTCAAATGACACTATTCCATTGGTTTTTGAATTTTATTTGAATTTTTAAAGATTTAAAATGAATTAAATTATCAAAAATTAAATAAAATAGAAAAATCAATATTTGGTCTTGAAATTAATCATGGGACACGTGTGTGGCATGACAAGGCTGAATCAAGTGGAAGAAAGTGGGCCCTTTTGTCAAAAATTGGAGTTTCAAGGATAGTTGACTTTTGCCATTTCACAAAAATTTCCCAACTTCTACAAGGCATAACTTGCTCAATTTTTAAGCTTTTCTCATGTTCTTGGACATTTTGGAAAGGTCTTTGAGTCCTTTAACCAATGCCTTTGGTCCCATGTCATTTTGATTTACCAATCTCAGGTTATGGTCTTTGACTTAAAGTCCCTTTTTGTTGACTTTTGAAAATGACCTATAATGTTGAAATTGATAACTTTTTGTGAGAGCATTTCTTGGACTTGAAGTATGAAGATGAGTTGTAGGAAATGTCTTTCTCTTCAAAATGAGCTTTGGATGGAATTTTTCTGATAATCCATGTGAAAGTTATGCCCTGGTCAATTTCAGTTGACTTTTTCAGCTGTCCAAATATAGCAACTTTTGCATCTTTGATGATTTCTGAGCCAAATTTTGAGAATCATGATCAAGCATTGATCAAATGATGTTTGTGGCTTCAAAATGATATGTTGACCAAAAATTTGGACTTTTGACTGTCAAATGACCATTTTGCCCCTACAGTTGACTGTAGTGCAATTTAGGGTTTTGACTGTGCAATCTTGAGCTGAATGCCTTGAAACTTGATATGAGGATGCTTGACCATGTTTGTAAGCATATGAGACTTGATTGGGCCTTTGAACACTTCCTTTTCTTGATCAGACTCAAAACCCTAATTTTGAGTGTATGGGAGACTGTTGCACTGCACAACCCTTGGGGAATTTTGTAGCTTGGCTTGGCAATTTCTTGAGGAATATGGGAGGGCAAATTTTGGGGTATAACATATAGCTCACATAAATTTATTTTTGGCTCTTATACAATGGCAATATCAATGCCAAATTATTGTTAAAGTACATATATTTAATCTTTAATCAGCAGTATATGCTTCACTTAATTTCCCACACAGCATAATCTTGTCCATCTGTAGCTACTACTGCATTTGATGGAAGAAGGTTTCCAAGATCCAATTTGGGTCCAATCTTAACAATAATCTTATCATCAATTTTAGCCATATAGAGATCACCTTCAGCAGCCAAAATATTCACACTGCTTGTAGCTGTAATTCCATTCCTCTTCCTTATTGCTATCAATTTCTTTATAGGCTCCATTAATCCCCATTCTATGTAGTGATCATAGAACTGCATGCACCAACAAAACAATATTCAACTGTTACAATATCAAGTAGGAACAGAAAACTAAATAGTCACAAATTGCAAATAATGACCACTATATTGGCTTACACAGCTCGGCCAAACGTGTCTATGTCTATGACTACAGAGCAGCTGTAGTTTCGCATTATTAATTGAATCAATTAGGATTTCATTATTACAATTTTTGTTTTTTTAAAATCTTAGTATCTAGCCTTGCGACTGACTAACTCAAGGGGACTAATCCCACTTTCCACTTGCAGGGGGCCCGTTTAACGCCTGAGATCTAAAACATGAATGGTTAGCACTTAGGAGGATTTGAATTTAAAACTTTTAGAAGAGCACACTCTCAAGACCTAAATCTTCACCACTAGGTCAACCCACCGCGGAGGACTATTGCCTCCCCTAGTTGCTCCCCACAACAAACAAATGGGAGGGAGCCTCGCGTCGCTACCCTTACTCGGCTCTCCGGCCCGTGCCCCTATGTGACTATGTGTCATCTACCAACAATACAATATTCAACAATAATCTTCTCAATAAAGAATTAAGAATTAGAGAATTGTGGTTTATGCATGTTACTTACAATTGTTGGGTGACCAGGATGAGTAAGAATGTAAACATAACCCAACATAACTTTATCAGATGGAAATGGCCATAATTTCTGAGAACCAGTATCATGATTATCCACAAAAGTAACAGCATTTGATGGCATTATTCCAATCATCCCTGGTGGTTTTCCATTAGCATCTTTCATCCTCCAAAGCTCACCTTCAACAGCAGCACCTAAAATCATTTTAGTAGTAAAATCAAAAGTAGTTACAACACCACCAGCATCATTAACCCAATTAACCAAAGTTTCGCGGTGCGCGTCTTGGTTAGCCAATGGTTTCCCATCTGAGCCCAATTCGACGCCTCGATAAAGCTCTCCAACTGCGAAATCAGGTGATGTTTTCTCTACGTAGATTTTTGTAAACCTTGGAGCATATCCGACAACCATGTCTAGTCTCCATCCAACAAAACCAACTTCTGTTTTCAACCAGTTCATCCAATCTGATAGTTCTTGTTGTACTTTTGGATTCGTGTGATCGATGTCAGGTGCACCTTTCCAATCCTCACCTGGTATTACATAGAATAGTTAGTTACAACCGTTACTTGTATGTGATCAACGATTTCTATCAAAAATAGTAATACCTGTGTCGGGGTTGCCTGTGCCTTTGAATTGGACATCGGTGCTACAAATGTAGGACACATCCCAATCTAGGCGAGTATCAGGAGTACCACCTTCGAAGATGCTAAGTCCATTGTTGTCTAGCCTCTCTGCTGTTCTGTGGTTTATGACTATGTCGGATAAGCATTTCACTCCTCGATCACGAAATGCTGCAACTAGTGACTTCAGTTCTTCCTTGTTGCCATATTTTGATGTGTCAAGATCATATAATCTTTTCGGTAGATAACCTTTCGATTTCAATCCAAAAAATATATATCAGAGGTACAAACAAAATTTTACTTTTTAGATTCATTGAATGACTAATATATCTGATTTAGTTACAGACAAAATAATCGAGTTATTTAAATTACCTTGAGGACCATCATCTTGAGAGTTATGGGAGGAGGAAGCCAAACATATTCAACACCAGCATCTGCTATATCAGGTACCTTAGTCTTCAAGAAATTCCACCATCCTCCTTGTTTTTCAACCGATGCCCAGTTGAACCCCTACAACATATTATTATTACTACTATTATTAACTATGAAACACAGACACCCCAAAAAAGACCTTGACAATCATATGATGACACTGGTGATAATTTTAAAAAATAAATAAATTAAACGTAATCATAAATGTCGGTTCAGGTGTCTGACACCCACATAGACACGTCCATTAGTGCTACATAGATTATTAAACTCTCTATGTTAAATAAAACAAAGAAATGATTAGAAAGACAAAAGAATGGTAATGATACCTGAAATAGTATGGTAGAGGAGGAAAAAGAAGGGAAAAGAGAAATGCAAAGATAAAAGAAGCATAATGAATGAAGAAACTTCATGTTTTGTATGTGTTTTTGTCTTGTCTTTATGCCATGTCTCCTTTTATAGGGTAATCTTAAAATAAATTCTAGGTTGATTTTTCAGAGTTTTGATTTATACGTTACCGTATTCAAATTTTCATTCAATGGAGTCAAAAATATAAAACTCTAAAATCCTAGAATTATTGAACACGTTGATATTTTTATGGCTCTAAATATAAGTTTATAGGACAATAAAATATTTATTTGATAACAATTGTTTTTTCTTCACGTACTTATAATTTATGTTACTAATTTATAACTTATTTTTCATTTATTATTTTAAATTGTATTTTATAATTTTTTTCATTTTTATTCTTATTATTTTAACTTAAAAATAATAATTTTTTTATATTTATTTTAATTTAAAATAAAATAATTATATTTTCAATATATTTTTAATCACTTTATATTTATCAATTAATTGAATAGATAATTTTATTAAATACCTATCAATTTATTAGTGATTTAATCTTCAACCATCAATTATAAACTATCAATCATCACCTATAAGCTATTCGCTAGTTTATGAGACAATTATTATTTTTAATAAACAAAATCATAGTCTTCTTGTTTATAGAAATATATAAAAGCTACTGGCTTTTTTGATTTTTTTGATAAAAAGATACATTTACTTGTGGTATACAAAATTACAAATTAGAAAAATACAAAATTGATTTTCAATGACACTACAATATTATGACTTAGCTAAAGTGTTTATCTAAGTTTGAAGAAAAAGTTTGACTAGTAAGCAGATAGATCGTACTAGATATATCTATCTTAGATTAGATTCAAGGAATGTTAATTAGAGTAATGGTATCTGATAGTGAAAAATAGAGAAATTTATAAGCGTTTTTTCCGCATAGAATTACGGTAGACTAATAAAATCGTATTGGAAACACTTATTTTAATTTTTTTTTGAAACAGAACTTTTTGGCCCAAATCCAAATTTCTTTGGGCTAAGGTATTATAAGAGATGATTTTTAAGGAGATTTCTTAATGTATTTTATAGTTTACTAGCGTACTTTGTGAAAATTTGAAAATGTCCTTAAATCTAAGAGATTTATCTCATACACATAGATTCTGAAAATATATTTTTGGAATAGTTCAAAAACGAACAAATTATAAGTGTTTGAGGTGCGTCCGAAGATGCATTTTTAGAATTTGATGGACATTTTTGGAATTTTATAGTGTTTTTCCACCCTATATGGTGCATTAAGAGATATTCTCATTTTTAATAGGGAAGTTCTTATCCCACTTTATGAGGTAGAAAAAAATCCTAGGAAAATTTGAAAATGTCCTCAAATTTCAGAAATTCTAGACGCATAGTTTGTATAACTCAATAATGCGCATATTTCGGATTCAACATAACTATAAATATGAGTCATGTTTCATATTCAACTTAGGTTGTGGGTGCGTCTGGAGATGAATCTCCAAAAACTGTGGGCATTATTGTGTTTTCATGTGGTGTGCTAGTGATGCATATGATGCATTGAGAAATCCCCTTTTTAATATGATGTTGTCATTATCTCAGAGTGATCACACACTTTATGGAAATTTTAAAATCTTCGTATATTTTGAATTTTAAAATACAAATAATTTATTTTACAACAAAATCACTTCATGACTGAGGCATTATATTTTTTTCAAAGATTGATTCGGTTTCCAATCTTTAGATTAACCTTACATGCACATTTTCTATGTTTTCTTAAAATCACAATTTCATATTCCAATCTCCAGACTAACCTTGTGAAATTATTTTATACTCTTTGACAAGTACAATGGTGTCCACTGCAGAGTTCAGTAAAACTAATATAGTTCATACCTTACATCATCACTGCCATTTTCACTTCCTTCTCTTAAAAATGGCCAAGAAAGATTCAGACTTTGTGGTTAACACAATAGCCAGAGGTTTCACCGGTGGAGGAAGTTTCAGCTCCTTCCAGAAAAAATACGTCAGGCAAGTGTTGACTGAGAACGTAACATCCCACGACTCTCTAAAGCCAAGTGAAGAAGAACGGACCAACATCACTTTCTCTAATAGTGACGCCATTAGAGTCTTCCCTCATGATGATGACCCCATGGTGATCAATGTGCAACATGGTAACTGGGATATCAAGCAAGTCTTGATAGACCCGAGAAGCTCGATTGACATCCTATTCGGGAGCACCTTTCAGAAACTCCAACTCGATCCCAGTGACATTAAAAAGTTTTAGGGTTCGCTAGTAGGCTTGTTAGACAAACATGTGCAAGTAAGGGGTCACATAGTCCTAGAGACAACTTGTGGTGTGGAAGTAGATTTTAAGGCGATTAAAGTCAATAACCTCATAGTGGATGCCTTGTCGCCCTAAAACGTCATCTTTGGAAGATCAATCATTAACTCGTTAGGGGCGATTATATCCACCCAGTATTTGGTGCTGAAATACCCACTACATAGCTAGCGAGTTTGGATGATTTGAAGAGATTAGGAAATCGCTCGAGAATGTTATTAAAGTAGTCATATATGGAAAGGGAGGATCTTCCCACGAGGATGCTCCTTTTCCCGAAGAACAAGAATCAAACAATGAGAGTTGGAACCCCATACTGGACGTGGAGAACAAGATGCTCAGGCCCATAGAGGATATGGAGAAAGTTCAGATAGGTCCCTTTGCTCACCAAGTGACGAAGATATGCACCTCGTTCTTCGAAGAAGAAGAACGCAAACTAGTCGACCAACTAATTAGAAATGTCAACTTGTTCACTTAGAGCCCCTCCAACATGTCGTAGATAGATACCAAAGTGGTGTGCCATATCCTCTTCGTCGAGCCTTCAGCGAGATTGGTGTCTCAAAGAAAATGGGAAGTTGGTGAGGAAAGTTAGTGCTGAAATACCCACTACACAGCGAGCGAGTTTGGGCGATTTGAAGAGATCAGGAAATCGCTCGAGAATGTTATTAGAGTAGTCATATATGGGAAGGGAAGGTATGCCCACGAGGCTCCTCCTTTTATCGAAGAACAAGAACCAAACTATGAGAGTTGGAACCCCCGACTTGATGTGGAGAACAAGAGGCTCACGCCCATAGAGGATCTAGAGAAAGTTCAGATAGGTCCCTTGGCTCACCAAGTGACGAAGATAGGCACCTCATTCCTTGAAGGAGAAGAGCGCAAACTAGTCGACCAACTAATTAGAAATGTTAACTTGTTCACTTAGAGCCCCTCCGACATGTCAGAGATTGATACCAGAGTGGTGTTCCATCTCCTCTTTGTCGAGTCTTCAGCGAGACCGGTGTCTCAAAGAAAATGGAAAGTTGGCAAGGAGAAGAGAGTCGCCATCGACGAATGGGTATAAAGCTAGTTAGCGTCAGTTTTATCACAACAAAAAAATATCCAACCTGGTTAGCCAATGTTGTTTTGGTGAATAAAACATCAAACAAGTGGCACATGTGCGTGTATTTCACTGACCTCAATATGACATGTCCCAAGGACCCTCATCCCCTGCAAGATATTGATCGCCTAATTGATGGGTCCTCAGGCTACTACACATTGAACTACATGGATTCCTATTTGGGGTACAACTAGATTAAGATTGACTTGCCCAAGACAAAGTTCATGTCAAACCATGGCAACTAATATTATAATATCATGTCTGCTGGCCTCAAGAATGCAAATGTCATCTACCAACGACTTATGGATGCCATATTCTCCCATCAAATAGGGTAAAACTTAGAAGCCTACATCAACGACATGGTAGTGAAGGTTGCAGAAGGGCATAATCATACAGTAAATTTAGAGGACGTCATATAATCATCTAGGAAGTATAACATGCACATGAATCCCTCCAAGTTCTCCTTCTATGTGCGGACAGGAAAGTTCCTTAGCTTCATGTTAATGAAGAGAGGCATTAAAGAAAACCTATATAAGTGTGAAGCTATCACTAACATGAGAAACCCCATTAACATCAGAGAGGTGTAACAACTAACATATCTTCTCTCAACCTTCTCTCGTTTCCTCTCTTGTACAGGCGACAAGGCTTTTCTATTCTTCGTCGCCCTGAAAAAGAAGGAAAAGTTTGAGTCGACAAGGGAAAACGAGGAGGAGTTCTAAAGAATAAAGTTTGAGTTTGATATGTCCTTAAGAAACTAGATCTCTAGAAGAAAGAATGATGTCTTGGGCAGTAGAACTTTCAGAGTATGACATCTAATACGTCCTAAGACGAATCATCAAGTCCCAAGTTTTGGAAGATCTTTTGGTAGAATTTAACTCTCTAGTTGATGAAGAGGCACCCTCAAAGTGGATGCTATTATTCAATGGTGCCTCAAACATCAATAGGAGCGAGCCGAGATAGTGCTAGAAAGATTAGGTAACATATTGGTCAAGCACCAATTGAAATTTGAATTTAGGGCTTGCAAAAACCAGACCGAGTATGAAGCTCTCATAGCCGATATGGTCCTCACCCTAGAAATGGGTACTTCAAATCTAAAGGAAAAGAATGATCCCCAACTTTTCACCGGGGAGTACCAAGAAAAACAACCTTAACTCATAAAATATCTCCACAAGGTACATGATTTGTCAACACGTTTTAAATCTTTTGATGTAAAGAATGTGCATGGGGAGCAGATCTCTTGTCCAAACTTGCTAGCATGAAGACTACTGGATATAATCAGACGGTGATACATTAGACCTTTTCCCCCTATCATTGAGGTGAATGAGATCTACACCATGTAATATGTCCCAAACTCAGGTTGGATGTCGCCCATATTACGTTATTTTAAGAAGGAAAAGCTCCCCTAAAAATAGGGGGAGGCGAAGAATGCTGGAAGAGGGTACTATATGTCATACCCTAAATTTCCCCCGCAATATTTCATTTTTAATTGCATTTAAATTCATCCGCATATCATGACCATTTCATTTGATCATAGAGTCCCATAAGCACTCATCAGTCAAAAGTCAACATAAAGTCAACATTTTCATGCGTTCAAAAATTTGACTAAAATTTCATTCATC